GGCACTCCTGTGGACAGGGTGGCTTGAGTTCAGAGACTGGGAAGTATGAGGTATGTCAAGTTTTCATGAGGGGCATCATAGTTATTACCACCGAGCACTTGCTATGTGTAGGTATATTAACTCATTCAGTCCCTATAACACAGAGTGACACTTTTTTTTTTTCTGTGAAGAAATGGATACTAGTAAATATTTGAGGCTTTGTGGCCAGAGGTCTCCTTGTCACAACTACTCAACTCTGCCATTGTAGGGTGAAAGCAGCCATAGAAGACAAATGGGTGTGACGGTGTCCCAACAGAACTTTGTTTACAAAACAGGTGGTCAGTTGGGTTAGGCTTAGGTCACAGTTTGCCATCTCCTGGCAATATACTTTCTGATATATTTGGTATAATCTTTATTTTATGGAGGATACAACTGAGACGTAGCAAGGTTAATAGAAATTCGCTTGCCCAGGGCCAAGGGCCTACCTGACTTGGTCATTTCTAAAGCCCGTGCTTCCCGCTTCCACAAGCACTGCCTCCTCCTGCAGAAGAGCCGGACGTGGCCTGGGCAAGACCCGAGGTTGATAGACTGCCGTGAATTGCAATGTGAACCTGACAACTTCAATTCAGTGGGAAGTGGGGAGCCGTTGATGATGTTTTGAGCAGGTGATCACGTAAGAGCTGTATCCTGGGAGATTAAGTTGGCAGGGGTGTGTAGGGAGATAAAAGTTGACAAAAGAACTCTTGTCTGAAACAGCTTGAGGTAGAGATTCATGTCTTTGGCAGAGCCATGTCTGACCACTGGTTCTCCCTGGTATACCCAATACCTACGTGGCCTCACCATGACTCCATGCTGTGTGTTCCTGCCGGATTGTGCAGACACATAAAGGGCTGGTTTTAGATAAAGACAGTATATCTATTTTAAAGTACCCTTCCATCACCTAAGAAGGGAATGAGTGGAGGCACCAGTGTCACCTTCTACTCAGCAGTGTCCTTGTCGATGACCCTTTCTCACCTCAGCTGATGGTCTCGTGGCCTATGGCTTTAAACTTTGGAATGTCCCCGTCCCTCAGACATAGCTGGTGGGATCCCTCGAGGTGTTGAGAGAGCATTGTAAGTGTACCTTCTCCTGGTTAGAGAAGGAAGCCTCACTGTGTGTACCAGCCTGGCTGGTTTCTGACCTGCCTTTCTTTTATAGTCGACCATCATTTGTGACTCCAGATGGGCGATACTCCAGACTCTTAAAATTGTGCTGTGAGGAGGAGAAAGGGGAGCGAGTCTCTGAGTCATTTGTGTCCTGGAGGTTCAGGGCAGAGGCTGTGTGGCTGGTTTGGGCCCATTTTATAATGCTGGTGGTAACATTTCTAATGATTGCTTTTGTTGATTGAACAGTTAGCATGTGCCAGATTCTGTGTCCTTTATGTATATGAGCCCATTCCATCTTCCAATAGCTTGATGATGGAGGCATTGTCATCCCCATCTTGTAAATGAAGACACCCCGCCACAGGGCACAGAGGTCATTGGCAGCATGGCAGCTAAGATCGAAAGCAAGTCTGTGTACTCCAAAACCCTCCTCTTTACCACTCCACTGCCTCTGCTTCCTGAGCTCCATGTGCGTCAGACCAGGGCTTTCCATGTGGTTTCTTGCTGAGTCTTCACAACCCCCTTCTGGAGGCCTTATTGTGCCCATTTTATAGCTGAATAAGCTGAAACTCAGAAAAGCTGAGTGACTTGCCCAAGGGCATTCAGACAGCAAGAGATAGAAGTAGGTTGTGGGGTTTTATTTATTTTTTAATTTATTCAGGGAGAACATAACTGAATAGAGGAACAGGCCTAGAGTCAGTAGGAGAGTGTCATGGAGCGGGTGAATGATTTGAGTAGCATTTGTATTTACATTCAGAGCAGCAGTGCTGTAGTGTCTGAGGAATTCTCCAGTCAGCAAGCGTTCACATCCTTGCTCTACCACTTACTTGTGATCTTGGACACACTACTTTACCTCTCTACACTTCAATTTCTCCTCTGAAACATAGACACAATACTCGCATCTACCTCGCAGAATAAGGATTGAGTTAATATGTGTCAAGTGTCTATACCAGTGCCCAGCAGGTAGTAGGCGCCATACATGGTAGTTGTTTGTTATGCTAGTCTGCATAGGGCTTTTTTCTTTTCCCACATATGTTGTGTCACTTGGTCCTAGCTGACAAGTAGATGGCATTAGTCCCATTGTACAGATAAGAAACCTGAACCTGAGAAGTTAGTTAAATAGCTCAACTGAGGTCATACATCCATTCACCTACAGATGCATATGTATTGAGGAGGGATGTGCCTCATGCTGTAGGATACATCACTGAACAAAACAGACCTCAGTCCCTACCCTTGGGGAGCCTACGAAACTGAGACTTGAACACAGGCCTGCTTCTGCCTTTTCATGTTTTTCTGTCGCCCTCTTAACAATGTCATGTATCGATCATTGACATTTCAGACTGGCCATTGTAATGACCAAGGTGGTGCTGCGTTTCCTTAGCTGTCTCAGTGCTTACAAAGTTGAAAATGATCTTGCTAGACTTTTGATCTCTGACAACGTCTTGGGAGTCACAGGAAGGTAAATAACGTGAGTTTAAGGATGGGACACCATGGTCCGAGGTGTGAAGTGGAATCACACTGTGGTGTGCGTTTGTGCTGTGGGTCTCGGCACTGGAAGACTGGCTTTGAGGTGGGGATGGTGGTGCACAGGGTTTGTCTGTCCTCGGATCTTGACAAAGTAGCAAGTGCAGCTCTGCCTTTCCCTCTTGGGGATGATGTCTTCATGGTCCCAGGTGTAGATGTCAGAGGTGCCACCTCTCTTAGTAGGGTTCTCCTTTGCAAGTTCAGGCCCTGGCCCACGGTCCCCATTCCAGGATCAGGGCCCAATTGTGTGAGATTACCCTCGGCATGGTGTTCAGAAGAACAGGATGGAGGGTGCAAGTTGGGGTTAAGGCAGGGCTTCCACTGCTCTGTGAGTTACCAGGGTCTCAGCAGGCCAGCTGGGTCACCTTCATCATTTTGGTGGAGACACCATATAGGTATATGAACTGTTGGTACTAGTACAGGACCCAGTTGAGGTAGGATAGTTATCTTTTTGAGCAGCCATTTGTTTGTATCACTCTAGGGGGAAGAGTTCCTGATAGACAGGGCTTACGTGTCCCTCCACCAACTCACAAACCCATGCATGGAGCTTACCACTCAAAATTGTTGAGAAGGTTTTTAATTTTGTTTGTTACTGGCTTATATCAGTTAGGGGGAAAGTTTTCAACGAGAGTTTCCTCATGCTTGTTGGCCTATTTGGAAGAAAAATTACCTTTTGGGCTGATGATAGGAGCAGGTCTACATATGTCCTCCAAGGGGGCCTGCTCTCCTGATCTCATGGGTGACCCCAGCCTTGCCTTTCAGGATGTGGTGTACACTAGCACTGTGATTAAATATGTTGGAATTTGCTGGGTTTTGTTCACAGAATCCCAACAGTGAAAATGATTCCTGCCTTTTAAATTAAACCTATTAAATTTGAGATTATTGTGAGGCCATCAATAACTCCACTCACACAAGAGTAATTGAGGGGCTCTGTGTTTTCGTACTTGGCTTCTTTCTTTACAAGGGACCTTGGCTCCTGAGAAATTGGTTAACGCAATAGCCCTCCTTACCCTGAAATGGCCCATTAAAAGATGCCTATTGGGTGGTAACCTCCCCATACGTTTTCTCAATAAAGAGAAAAAGATGGGAAGGGGTGGGGGTGGTAGCCATGGGGTGGGGGAGACCCCTCTCACATTTAGAGCCGCAGTCTCTCAAAGCCATCTGGCACAGACTGTTTAGTTCCGTGTCTCCTGCCCCATTCAAGCCCCTGCATGTTTTGAAGCTTTCTTTAGCTTCTCCCTGAGCCTTGACTGCAGATCTCTCAATAGGCGAAAGCCTAGCCATGGTTGCTGAATGCCCCATCGGCACAATGCACTGAATGTTAATGGCACCGGCTGGCCCGGGGCAGCTGGACGGTGGCTGCTACACCAGCCCAAGCAGCGGATTCAGACTTTGTGATGGGGTCCGACTGGCTTCCTAAAGTTGCCTCCTTGTTTTTTTGCAGATCTACACGGACTGGGCCAATCATTATCTAGCCAAATCAGGCCACAAACGTCTCATCAAGGATCTCCAGCAAGATGTGACAGACGGCGTCCTCCTGGCCCAGATTATCCAGGTCGTGGGTAAGAGAAGATTTTATACTGGGGTTGATGAATTATAGTGGAGACTCAGAGGAGTCGAGTCAAGCAAGGGGAATGGAACACTGAAATCTCGATGAAAAATGCGGTATTTTTATCATGTGGCATTGAGAATTGGTTTGACTGTTTTGTGCTCAGGGAGTGTGGGGACTAGCTTGGTTTTTCCTGATAAGATCACCCAGACAGCAATCTCATCTTGTTCCTCTGAGAAGAAAGACTGGCCAAGGCTGGAGGGAAATGCTGGTGGCTTGGGGAGGGGCCCTCTGTCCCCTTTCTTACCTCCTGTTATCTTTCTGATTCTCTCATTCCAGCACCCCCTCTGTTGGTACTTTTTTTGTGGATTATTCTGGAAATATTTTTTAAAATAATAATAAAATAAAGCAACATGAGGTTGGTTTAGTTCTGCCAAGTCTAATTGGGACTGAGAAATCAAAGGATTAGACTCCGGGGAGGGCTGGTTCTGGTTTCAACACCAGGAGAGGGGACCTGAAGCGGTGGGATTTGGAATGCCTTGTCTGTGTGCTGGGAGGAGAGGGTTCATCCAGAAATGCACGCAGGCGGAGGCTGGGCACGGCTTTGCATTGAGTCTTAAGGGAAGCGCCCCAGTGGTCCTGCCTGAGCTCTCAGAGCAGACTGAGGAGGCGGGAGGTCAATTAGACAGCATTAGGCAGATTGTTGTCGCTGGCAGCAGTGGACTCGTGCCCACAGATGCCACAGGGAAAGGACAGAAGCTCCAGCCCCTGGGGCACGTGTTGCTGTGAAAAAGTTGCTTATCCTTCAAGTGGGAGAAGTAGCCTAGTATAGCTGTGATTTTGCTCACATCTGTGGAGATGGTACTTAAAAACACAGGCAGACTGGCCTTAACTGAAGCTCATGGACTGCCACCGTCATTCAAGGAGAAAAGAACTTCCCTGCTGTCCTGAGATTGGTTTCTTAAGACTAGCGTCCATTGGTCCTCCTTCTCTTTCTCTCCTTTCTCCTTCCCTCCCTGGATTCATGTTCTGTTGCTGTGGAACAAATTGCCACAAACTTAGCAGCTAAGACAACATGTATTTATTATCTCACAGTTTCTGTGCATCAGAAATGCAGTGGGGGACCTCTGCAGGGCTGCAGTCAAGGTGTAGGCCAGGGTTGAGTTCTCATCTGGAGGCTTGACCAGGGAGGGTTCAAGTGCACTCAGAGTGTTGGCAGAATTTAGTTCCTTGCAGTTATAGGGGGTGAGTCCTGATTACTTGCTGACTGTTGGCTGGAGGCCACTCTCAGCTCCTAGAAGCCCCTCTCAGCTTCCTGCCATGTGGGTCTCCTAACATGGCCGTTTTGATTGACTTCTTCAGTGTCAGCAAGAGAGAAAGTTTTGTGTTTTTTTTAACAGAAAGAACCTTACGTATGTAATGTAACATCATGAGAATTATATTCCATCACCTTCCGTTGGTTAAAAGTCCTAGATTCTGCCACACTCCACAGGAAAGGATTGTACAGGGCTGGAACTCAAGTGACAGGATGCTGGAGGGTCACCCTGAAGTCTGTCCACCACACTCCTTCCCTCCCATCCTCTTCCTCCCACTCTTCTTCATCACTCCTACCAAGCTCTTTTTACTATTTATCTTGTTTAATTTCCTCAGCATCCCTGTGAAGTAGGTGGTAGTCTCCCCATTTTGCAGATGCAGAAACTGAGGCCCAGTGAGTCTTAATAGCCCAGTATCATATGATTTGTGTGCAAGAGAAGTCTAGCCTGGGTGTCTGCTTTTAAAACTTCTCTTCTTTGCTCGGCTGTGTTATGACCCCTCTCAATCCAGAGGCACTGAATGCAATGCGAGGTTCTACCTCCTTTCACTTCAGTGCAGTAAGCAGTGATGGAGCACTGACTGTGTGCCAGCATTGTGCTCCTTGCTGGGAATAGAGGCAAATGTGCAATGCTTGTAACCTTGGAAGAAGGAGTAACATCTTGGCAAAGTTTTCCTGAAAGAGGTGGCTCGCACCTGAGCTCGGTTAGGATCTCTGTCTCAGCAGGGTCATCTCAGCAGGATCACATCCGGCCCCTGTGACTGAGTCTTGGGGCTGTGCAGAGTGTTTCCATGGAGACGCTTCTCTGTTTTCTGCACAGGGAGCAAGAGAGCAAGTAGGAAAGGATAGTACCCAGAAGCCTTGCTCTCATCCCAGCTCCATCCCTCCCAACTGTGGGACCTCTGAAAAATCACTTAACTGCTGCTGCTTCTGTTTCGCCATCTTTAAAATGCATACAGCCATGCCTGCTTTGTCTGCTCTTGTGGCAGTCTTATGAAATGCAAGGATGATATCAAATATGAAGTACATATATTTGGAAACTGTGAAGTGTTCCTGAATAGCACTCGGGAGCCGCTGCCTAGAAAGGTATGTGTAGAAGGATGATGAGGCCTTGGTATCAGTGTCAAACTGTGTCATGATAGATTAGTTACGTCTGTCATGGGCCCAGAAGAGGTGAATGGTAGCTTGTATGTTGTGAGTTTTCTAAACGTGGTGCTACGGAAATGTAAGCTAGCCTGGTTTTTGTTGTTGCTCAGGAGGCTGCTTCCCTGAATCTATTCAGGTGACATAAATCTCCCTAGTCAGTGACCCGCCCTGGGCCTGGAGCTACTAGAGTAAGACTTCAGAGGCTCAAGTTAGTGGCAGTGATTCAGGCTGTGCCTTAGGCCACCAAGTTGCTTTCCGTCAGCCCTGCAGGAGAGACTTGCTCTGGCCAGAGACGCTGAAGTAAGGCCAGATGTCAGCACATGGCTCTCCACCCCTGAGTGTGCCGGGCTCACACGCTCTGCGCTGGGCGTGGGGAACAGAGGCCCAGAAGATTGGTAGCTGAGAAGGCAGCTCAATGTAAGAGACGCCTGCGTGAGTTCTTTCCGAGATTGTCTGTGAACCAGTTGGTGGAGACACCATATGGGTATGTGAACTCTTGGTACTAGTTGAGATAGGATAGTTATCTTTTTGAGCAGTCATTTGTTTGTATCACTCTAGGGGAAAAAGATCCTGATAAACAGGGCTTACTTGTCCCTCCACCAACTCGCAAATCCATGCATGGAGCTTACCACTCAAAATTGTTGAGAGGATTTTTAAATTTTTTGTTATGAACACAGATCTCGTGATGAGGGAGGAGCCATATTTTCTGATCAGGATGCAAAACTCCTGAACAATTGTGCTCTACGTTTAAAGTCCATGCTTTCCCCCACACATGTGACCATGAAAATAAAATGTGAAAAGGTAAATTGGTATGCGTACATGTGCTTAATACATACATAGTATGTGTGCGTATCTACCTATCTGTCTGTCTAAAAATTATCTGGTGACTCCTCCATCTTGTGCTGGACAGAATTCTGGTGGCTACAGTTGTTCTTTGGCCGGTGAGCTCCTACCCATTCTTGAAAGGTCAGTTTTTCTCTGATACCTTTCCTAGCTCCTCCAGGCAGCTGGAGGGACCCCGTGTATCATTCCAGTGGCTGTTGTATTTGGGCCTGAGTCATCTTCCTTTCTGGGTTCACAGTATTTAGCAAGGATTAAGGATAAGAATTTTATTCACTTGCAGCCCCTGCTTCTGCACGTCTGGGTCAAATTGTTTCCAACAGGTGGCCTGGAGGTTCCCCCTCCTCGGCATTTAATATTCTTCTGAACATTCTTCTAAACTGTATGTCACACGCTCCTTTCCAGGATTCTGCTGCGGCTCTTAGCTCTAAGGTTTGGAAGGGACTTTTCAAAGCCCCAATCTGATACGTGAATTGCTTCTTCAAAAGCAGTCAACAGACTGTTAAATATTGTGATAGGCAGCTAACTGCCTCTTCAGGCAACTCGATCTAAAGATGGAGAGTTAGAATCCTTCAAAAGCTCTTCTTTCATTAGGTCAAAATCTGCCCTCTTCGTAATGTCTCCCTACAAGCACTTGTCCTGCCCTCCAGGGCTACAGAGAAAAATCTAATCAGAGACAATGAGAGCATCAAAATAATTGAGGGTGGTCATGGATTATAATCATGGAATGAAATAGGAATGTATAAGTCTATAGGAAAATAGTCTCTACTGATAGAAAAATAGAAAGATAGACATTAGATTCCACATATGAGATCATATGGTATTAAAAAAAAGAAAGATAGATAGAAAATAGAAAGATAGAAAGATAGAAAGATAGAAAGATAGATAGATAGATAGATAGATAGATAGATAGATAGATAGATCAACAGGGAAGAGGGCTTAACTGTACAGGGGAATGCTGACTGATAAATGTAGAGGGAGTTGCAACGATGATGGTTAAGATTACTTAAGGCAAGAATCATCAATGGATGCTGAAATCAGAGAGAAGAAAGTTTGATGAGGAGCAGGCTTTTTGCATGGTCTCAAAGTGTCTCTCCACTGATTACTTATTAGTTCCAAGGGGAAATATAGTAACCACACAGGGGAGAATGCAGACCTTATGGCCAGGTGGTCAAAATTACATCCCTGGCGAGGGACAGATGGATGTCACGTGCTTCCTGACGTGATACCCCGAGAGACCACAACATCACTTATGTTGAATTCCAGTCAGGGATGAAAAACCTGAAACTAATCATGAGGAATCTCAGACAAACCCAAATTGTGGAACTGGCCTGTATTGTTCAAAAATGTCAGTGCCATGAAAGACAAAGGCTGAGAAATTGCTCAGGACTGAAGAGACATGACAACTAAAGGCACTGTGTGATTCTGGGCTGGATCCTGTACTAGGGAATAAAATGCCATAAAGGACATTTTTGTGTCAATTGACAAAATTGGAATTACATCAATGCTAAATTTTTTGCATTTTCTAATTCTACCATTAGATAATGTCTTTGTTCTTTGGAAATACACACTAATTATAAGGGCATATCTATGTAGCCTACACTAAAATGATTCAGGGGGGTGGGGGAAATGTGTCTCTATACAGAGAAAGGGGGAGGGAGGGAGAAAGTGAGAGTGGATGAAGGAATGTAGGAATTCTCTGTATGAGTCCTGTAACTTCTCTGTAGGTTTGAAATTATTTTAAAATAAAAATAAACGAAGGCCCATCAAAATTTGCAGGCAGGGAGATTGTCCCTTTTAAGGGAAAACCTCCTTCTGGACCTGGAGGAGTGCCTTGCGTGATGATTAAGGATCTGTGATGCTGTGAGACCTGACCCGTGTGGTGGGAGGGTGGGAATCAGGGAATTTTCCTATAAGGAATCTGCCTATGAGCCAAGACCTCAAACTTGGAATTAGCTAAGTGAAATGGTCAGGAAGGGCATTCCTGGTGGGGGAAATAGTATGCAAAAAGGCTGGAATGTTGATAGCCAGAGGGTCCACAAGGCAAAATAAGGCAGGCTACCAGGTATAGGGCCATCAATTCTGGGCTTTAGCTAAGATCAAAGGCCAGTGGTTGCCGAGTTCATTTTCAGGTTGGGGAGTGACATGATCAAACATGTGACTTGAAAGAAAACCATAAATGCTTTTTAAAGACATTGCTCCTACTTATATCTTCATCTATCCCAGATACCCCTGGAGGTAGGTTTTCTAGACAGTGGGATTATTGGGGGTCCGTAGTTTTCCATCATTGCCTTCTGCCCGTCAGGCAGAAAGGGACCTTTTGCTGCTGCCAAAGTATCCTTCCTTCAGTGACTGAGTGTTGGGTCTCTCTGTGTTCAGCCTCTTATTAGTGTGATTATCTTCTTGAGTCATGAGCTGCCCGAAGTTGGCAGTTGCCTGCCAGCCCATGTCAGTGCCATCTCTGTGAGTTATTAGAAAGGTTTACAAGGGTGAGATAAACAGCATTGGATCAAAAGAGAGAGACAGGCCTCCCTCCTCATGGGTATGTTGCTGTCACTCAGAGAGGATGCCAGTACGGGTTGGATTGAGGGAAGGAGAGAAGGGGCAGGAGAAAGGGAAGAAAGAGGAGAGAGGGAAGGAGGGAAACAAGATGTACAAGAGAGGATTGGAGAGGAGGAAGCCAAGACAGAGATTTCTCATTAGAGGGGCAAAGAGCTGATAGCTTATTTTCTGCCACCATTTGGGCTGGCTCTGAGCACACCCAGGAACTTCAGACATGCAGGACTGTACCTTCTCTCCTTGATGACCTACTGCCATTGCATGCAGGGCTGCCAGCTGCCCTGCACATGCATAGATGCCATGTGAAATTCATGGGCTGGTGAAATGCTCTGAACTTATCAGAGGAAGTCTTGGGACAAGTAATGAGCCTGATGCCACTCTTCTTACTTAAAAAATGCACAAATGCTTTCCCCTTACTAACGTCACCTTGTGTGCAGACAAGTTACTATTGTACATTAATGGGCTAAGAATGTCTCGAACATGCTGGAATAAATAAATTACCATAGGCACTTAGGGGTTCTGGCTGTAATCACCGTTGAGGACTTTAGGGACAAAATGCCTTTGCATCTGGTTATCTGCTGTGGGGCTGTAGCCCAAGACCCCCTACCCCGAGTTAATACATTTGGATCTGTAGACGAAGCTTTCCTTACCAGCAGAATCAGAACTGCTATCATCGCTCTAAGTATTTATGACAACCATAGACATTCCTGAGAATTTAAGTAAAGGAGAAGTATTTAAATTACATGAAATTGAAAACAAGGAGGTCTAAGATTCATTTTGGATTTTTATTAAGCATTTATTTTGCATTTGGGCTTAGCCACTTGATTTTTATCTTTCCATATAATCTATAGTGTGCTCATAAGTAGGCTCCATGACACTGGTTTATTTTGAATGTTGTAAATGGCGGTGTTTGGCTTAGATGAGCCATGATATTTGAATTCTAGGAGCACCTGATGATGGTTTAGATGACAGATCATGAAAAGGAATTAAAGGAGTAATTAGACCAAGACTTAAGGTTTCATTTATCCAGATGGTATATAAAGAATCTTTAAAATTATTTCTTAAGGTCACGGTTATGCATCCTTCACTTTAATGAGCACTAACAACCTAATGCTGACTTGGGTATTGATCAGAATTTAATGCCTTACAACCTCGTCCCAGGACCCGGGATTGGGAGGAAGCTGATAAAGGCATCACAGAGGAGGCAAGTCCTTAGTTCTTTATTATGGGATCCTGGCTGAGTTTCCGGGCTTCACTCAGATGGAGGCATCCAAAGAGGAAATTTTATATATTTTCCATAGATAAGACTTTATATATATTATTGGGTTAATAATAGATACCATTCATAGAACACTTGCTGTGTGCTAGGCACTATGCTAAGCATCATATCATCTATTTCTCATAGCTCCTTCTGTGAAGTAGGTAGCATCAGTTCCATCTTACAGATGAGGAAACTGAGGCCCAGAGATATTGATTGACATGGCTAAGATCACACAGTTAAACTGTAGAGCTGAGGTTCAGATCGGGGTTTCCTTGCAACCCAAAGCCAGTATCCTAACCTGTACATATAGTGCCTTTTTTGTGTGGCTGCGGTTGCAAACTTAACCATAGATGTCTTGGGCTATGTCTTGCAGGGATTCCTCTATACTTCACCATGGGAGGCTGGGCCTGTCTTCCCTATTATTGTTATTTAATTTTTACTTAATTCAGTGCACCCTCTTTTCTTTCACATCTCTTAGTACGCAGGTTCTATTATGACTTCAAGAGTGTCCCAGATCTAATTAGGACTTACTGTGTGACCTTGGAGGAGCCATTCTTAAGTCGCACGCTCTCATTTTCTCTGTTTGCTACCACTTGGGAATAGGATTATTAGTAATCCTATTAGTATAAAGCAATATTTGTATTTCTGGCTAAAGATGGGGTGAGATGTTATCAAATGTACCTTTTGTCCCCTGGAGCTGAGTTGTAAGTAGACTGATCCACTCTGAACCATCTCATCTTTTGGGGGGAGGTTATAGTTGCCTGTCTCAGAGCCTAAAAGCACAATCACAACTCAGCCTGCTTCCCAGCCTCCAATATTGCCATGATGTCCCATCCCTCCAAGAGTGTCGTCGATGCAGTTGTCTCTGCTTTAGATGATGACGACCTTGCCCCAGCTGTCCCTGGAGGACGGCAGCTCGATGAGTAAGTCCTGAAGCTTGCTAGATGCGTCTCAGCATTTCACATGCCAGTGCTGATTGGACAAACCCTGGCCTGGGCCTTAGGACTTGGTTGGCCTCAAGGGTCCTGGACATCACGACTCAACGTGTCCGTGGTGGTTATGTATTTTACTGACTTGTGCTTCCTTTTTCAGCAAATGAAAAGATTGAAGACATCAATGGCTGTCCGAAGAACAGATCGCAAATGGTAAGTGGTACACGGCGAGAGAGTGTTGCTGTTATGTTAGCCCTGCCTCGAAATGGTATTGACCACCTTGAAAACATTCACACCACCAGCTTTGCTCTAGGGATTATATTAAACTAACAGTCATTTCCAAGTAGCTGTGGTCTGCTCTTCTGACATTTGTTGGCATTTACTAAAAAACGGCTGTGATTTTTATGTAGATGGTGAGACAGCGAAAACGAAGTATGGTCCTTGCTCTTAGAAACAAATTATGCAAAACCGGTGTGAACATACACTTGTTTAGAACTTGGACGGTTACGACATGTTGTGCTTCTTCAGAGACGCACGGCAATTTCTGTTTGTATATGGAGCCAAGGCACAGATGAAGTGATGGCATCTTATTACTCAGAAATCGGGGCATGTGGTCTGATTGCCTTTAAATGTTAGAATGATGTGAAACCAGAGCTGTGACTAGAAGTATGAAATGTATTATCATATCCAGGCCATTCTCAGCATAACCTTGACAAGTGCTATTCTCTCTGCTGTGATGTGCTTAAGCTCTGATATTTTTTTTTAATCTTAAAATTTGTTTTTTCTTGTTGCATGTTCTGCATACAACCTTTGAATTAGAATTGATGATCACTGTTGAGTTCAGAAAACATTAAATCATGATGGTTGGAGTGCTTAGCTTTTCCCTTTAAAAGGCTTTTCGAATGTGAATATTTACACAAATAATGTATATTATCAGAGTCTATTAAGATGATGCTAGTACCTGTTTAAAATATGAAGGCAATTTGACAACATTTTTTCTGCATATTAATTTTCTTCCAAAAATCTAAAAAAAAAAACACTCCATACTTTGTGTTTCTAACCTCACCACACTCCATTTCAGCAGGCACAATTTGATAGCCTCATTCCTGAGCACACCAAAGTGACTGGATTCCTTGGGTTAACTGTTTAATTTTCTGAATCCCTTGTTATCCCAGTGAGTTGGACAGATAGGCTTTCCAGTCAACTTTTTTTTCATGCACAGAAAAATTTTTATTATTAAGAGGAGTGAGTGTGTGTGGGTGGTGGTGGCGGGGGGAAGTCATTTTTCAGTTTACATTCTGAAACAAGTTTCTCTTTTTTATCGTTCCACTGGAGATTGCTTTCTTTTTGTTTGATCCAGAGAGCAACCACTCCTTGCATAGGAAAGTCCCCATGGAGACATCTCATGGCTGCTTTGACTTTTGGAAAAGCTTGGATGCTATTTTTTGCCAGAGCTACTGCAGCTGTCCAGTGTATTAATAATTGAGAAAATTTGGAAGATAGAAGACTTAATTTTAGTGCAAGTATTTTACACATGCAGTCATACCTTCACATGAAAGAGAGGCTGTATTTCCCGCTGAGATAAATATCTGCACATTTGTCCAGCCCGTTATATATGCATATGTAGAACTGACATTTGAAGGTAATTAACCTTTTATTCCATTTGGCACATTTGTATTTTCCAAACCTTCTATTGGAGGCGTTTCTTGTTAAAAGTCCATGTTCAAGGTTATAAAATAAGATCATCACCTCGGGTTCTTCTGTGCAAATTTAGTTCTATATGTAAATGTGTCATTTATAAATACTACCATACCACCAATGCAATTTTATGGTTTCTCCACAACTCTTTCAGCTATGGAAGAACTGTTTTTTGTTGTTGGGGTTTGTTGTTTTTGGTTTTCTCCCCCCATGGACTGTTTTTTTTTTAGAACATAAGACTATGAAATCCTATAATTGTCTGTGATAATTAGTTCCAGTTTAGGGGCGGGGAGGCAGCCCTGGATGGTCTGGTGGTAAATGCAGCAGAGGATATAGTTTAGCATACAGGATGTGAGTCCCGGAAAATGTAAGAACCTCCGCCACAGTCATTCCACTCTCCCATAAACGAGAAAGACGATAAGGACAACGGGGCCATTGTCTTTCCCCCCATATTACATAACAGTGATATTCATAAGGGAGAGCTCGCCTAGGGCACATGGGAAGTTCTCATAGACAAGCACGGGTGTTGTTCTGGCTGATACGACACCTGTGTGTGCGCATGTGAGCATGTAGTGTTAAAGCATTTCTACTCATCAGAAGCATCATTTGGGAATATGGCATAGTAGGTGGGCCACCATTTCTAGATTTCTAGAAGGTTCACTTCCCAATTAGGCCTTGTTTAGTGCAGCTAATGATAAAGATTTGTTGATGCTTGCTAAATAGTGCCTGTTTGGAGGAGACTAGAGGGGAAAGTATATGGATGGCGTCATGTTGGCAAAAGGAGGATGACACACAATGAATTGAGAAGTGGGGAGTGTACCAGTTGGGAGGGTAACTGTGACTCCCTTGAAAATAATCGGCACAGAGTTAATGTTCTCATTCCCTAAGAATACAGAGCATTTTCAGGGGCGTTTCATAATGGAGCCAAAGAAAAGCACTTTTATTTCACAGCAGGAGGAATGGGTGCTATTTCAGTTTTCAAGGGACAAATTTGTTTCATCAGCGAGTCAGTGGATAGAAACATGAGTTTTATTTTGTGTGTAGAAGGCATAAGCTCATCAGCTCTTTCCCTGGAAGAGGTGAAGAGGGTACCTCTTCCTCTCACCTGCTCATTTGCCCTCCTCCTCTTGACCCACCAGGCTCCCCCTGAGCTCCATTCCCCTCTCTGACTTCTGCACCCCAGGTTCTACTTCAAGTCCTACGCTCTCCCCAGAGGTGGGGAAGTGAAAGCAGACACCTGTGGCATATGGACTAAAGAGTTCCAGGGTCTTTGGTGCACAAACATTATGGGTGTGGCATCGCATACTTTTAGCCATTCAGTTGGCAAACGTTCACAGAGTGCCAGCTAATGCAAGGCACTGGGCTAGGTCATGTGAATACCCAAGTGCACACGGTGTGACCGGAGAACAATAGAACAGACATCTGTGCATGGCACGGTGGGGGCCCATTCCTCCCCAGGCAAGGAAGCAAGAGGTTTCATTCACCACAGGGGAGTGATGGGTGGAAGAGGATTCCTGTTTCTAGAGAATCTGTTTACCTGAGGATGTCAGGGACCCTGCAGAAGGAGGTTTTGCAACATTGATCTCCCCATTTGATCCTGCCCAACTGCTGTAAGCTGTGTCTGTGAGATGCTTCTGGCCTTTCAGTAATGTCAACCATTTGCCCTGTGGTATTCGAGGTGAGGGCTGAGGCGTGGAAGAGCCCAGAGTATGACAGAACCCCTAGGCATGGTGGTCTTTTCAGACCTGGGACAAGTCTTCTGCATTCATCATCACTCCTCAGATTGCCACAGCTCACAGAGCAACCCCCACCAGACCCAGGAGTAAAGTTTCCTAAAGGAAAAGAACAACCATGGTCATCAACTCCTGTGGATGGAAGTGGAACCATGGGGCCTGGAAGATGAGAATGCTACCTGGTGGGAAATGGTGGTTAATATTTTTAATGTGAGCACTGACATACCTCCACACAGTGCTTTCAGGTTTACAAGTGATTTGACTCAGGAGCACACTGGATCCTCCGGACTCTGCTGTGGGCCAGCATTACACTCCCCCGTTTTGAGGTGAGGAGACTGGGGTGCCAGGCAGTCAATGGCTGCTCCCCAGGAAGAGGCAGAGCTAGGACCATCTGCATCTGTGGCTTTCGGCGCCCGTCTCTTGGCTCTTGTAAGATGGGACTGTGACCGTGACCAAAATGCAGAGGCACAGCAGTGACTTCCCTTTCCCCGGCCAGTTTGGTCTCAGCTTATGTTGGAGTCCTTTGCCCTGTTTTAGTCTGACCTAGATATTTTGGGGGCCAAATCCTTGGAGATGGAGCTGTAGAAACAACACTCCCCTCTCCTGACCCCTCGCCCCCACCAAATCAGTCCATTTGGCCCTTAAATAAGTTTGTGTATGTGCGTCAGAGCTGGTTGAATGTTTTGTCTGTTTAGCATTGCCATGGCAACCTAGGGGCATCGTTTTGGCTTTCAAGTGGTGTGTTCAGCAGAGTTCTGTGTTAGTTTGGAAGGAGAAAGACTGCTTGGAGCTCAGCCAGCGGGCACAGGGGCGGCCCCTGCCTCACTCCCTAAACCCACTGTGCTCCAAGAAGACTTGGCTCACTTTGGAGCCTAGGGATGGCCACTGCAGGGGGCGGGTTTCTTGTTTAATCACTGTTTTCAGCGGGTTGGCTTTCTGTGGCTGATTAGGAGAGGTGCAAAGTTAGCAAGGCCTGCTGGTCCTTTTCAGTGAAAAGCCCTAGGCCTGTTTTCCCCTCTGGCTGGCTGATCTCAGGCCTGGGGTCGTCCGGGGCCTCCCAGCACGGCCCACATGCCCCTTCCTGGGCTCAGGGCGTCATGCCTTCTTCCCTTAGTACATCTAGACTGAGGGCCAGCCTGGACTTGTGAACCAGACAGGCCAAGTTGAAGTTCCTTCTCTGCTATTCTGTGGCCTTGAGCTAATGATTTAACCTTTTGAAGCCTCTATTTCCTGTTCTATAAAGTAGCATTGATAGTACTATATACCTTATAAAGTTTTTATGAGGACTAATAAGGTAATGAAAGTGAGTTTGGATAATAATTACAATGATAACACGTAACCTTGCCTTGTGCCAGGTGCCATTCTAAGTGCTTGATAAACACCCTCTCAGTTCATCCTCCCAACTGCCCTTTGAGGTAGGTGACTTTGTTATCGCCATTCTCCTGGCATATGGTCAGCACTTGATGCATGGCCGTTTCTGTGGTGATGATGGTCAGTTTTAGTAATCATTCATGTGTTTGGGGACATGCAACCTTTTGGAAATCCAAGAAAAGTTACCAGCCCTCTCCTCCCCCCGGGATTTTGCATACAGTGGAGCCGATTGTGGATTCCAGAGCGGGCCCATGTGCCCCCTGGGGCTCCATAGACCCCAGGTTCAGTGCTCCTGATACTTAGGGCACAACTCTGCTCCTTACACTGGCCTTTCAGGAACCCCTGTAGAAAATGCCAGCACCTGAGTTTGCAAGGTAATAGGAACTTGCACTTAGGCACAGAGAAGGACAG